AGAACATTTCAGTTAAAGAATACTTAGGCCATAGCCTGGAGACTCAAACTTGAAACACAATTTACCTATAGTGGAGCATGAAATTGGCTGTGCATTGCTATCGCCTGCTGAAGTTTCTCTTCCTTGGCTCTTCTACAGTGGCAAATCTAGAAAATAAATTGTTTAAAATACCAGTCACTTTCTCAAAGGTGTGCCTACTACTTTATACATTATAACAGAATTAAGAATCTTTTACCTATTGACATTATATCAAGTTTTGAATGTTCAAAGTAGCTTATAATTACTCAGAATTTAAGAATGCAAAAAATCATTTAATTTTTAAAAGATAGCCTTTTGCTGCAAACATCCAGAATGTAGAATAATATAGCTGATCCTTAATGTCAGTTCTTTGATTATATAATTTCAAATGCCTGTGTTTCAAAAATATGGAAATAAATTCTGCTGTTAACCAGAGACTTTAACAAATACAAACTTCAAGGCATAATTTTACAGTATTAAAGAATAATGGACCAGAAATCAGTGCCTTACTAATGCTATAACCATAGGTAAGTAACTAATAACTCTGGACCTCAATTTTGTCTCATAAAAAATGAAAATCTGCCCCATCTGCCTTAGTAGGAGATTCTATTTAGAGAGAGAGGGAGGGGAAGACGAAAAGGAAGGAAGAGAGTGGGAGGAAAGGAGGATAGAGAGAACATATGTTTTAAAAAGTTTACTAACAGATTATTTTTTTAAATGTCATGTTTCAGAGAAATTAAGTAAACATTTTGGAGTCAAAAGGCAAGAAACTATTAAGCAGACTTTGGGAGTTTTCTTTAAATACAATGGAGAGTTCAGAACATAAACTAATCCAGAATGTTCTCAATGATGTTTTAAATTTTTATTTTATAATCTTTATAGATTCTCTCTTTAAAAAACTTGTAAGACAGGTTATTAAGGGGTATGTTACAGCTGTGAAGACCAGACTGAAGTTGACCAGCTTTATTATACAATGACATAGATACACTAGTTCTATTTTTACAGAACTATTATTATTAATCTATTCTATTATATTACACCAAAGCTATTATTAGATTTACCTGCGTGTGTCTGCAGAACAAGCAGGCTTAAAGTGACAGCAGGATGTTGCTATCATTCTCAATATGGGGCTTCAAATTTCTCTTAGCACTCAAAACCCAAGTTCAGTAGTGTTGATTTTTTTTTACTCATAGTATACTTGAATGATTTGAGACTACACAGTTACTTATCCCAACTGGAAAAGTACTACGTACTGTTCTCTTTTCCATGAAGCTACTGAGAAAATCATCTATTTCAGTTTTCCCCTCCAAGAAATCTTCAGCAATATTATCAGATTCTTCCTCAGCTTCATGTGCAGCTACTTTCAATCTTGCCTGTAGGGCACTGGCACTACAGCTCTGAAAAAGGACATTGAGCACCACGTTAGTTGATAATACTCAGACAAACTCCTTGGAGGGAGAGGAAATGAGGTAGAGTATGGAGAAGCCAATCTGTTATGTGCCTCACCAAGCCTCTTTTTGAGGAAATCTACTACCTTATAATGCCCCACACAGGTCCTTGGCCTGAGAAACCAATCCACTGGCTGTAAACTATTAAAGGAGAGAAACTTGGAATTAACTGTGATAGACAGTGGCAAAAATGAACAGTAATGATCTCACACTTCTGGCATTCCTATCCTTGCATAATCCCTTCTTCGAAGCCCTTAAGAGTAGGCTGGACCTCACTGCCAATGAATAGAGTATGGCAAAAGTGATGGGATTAAATTTAGCCACAGAAGTGAAAGACTTGTATGATGAGAACTAGAAAACAATGCTGAAAGAAATTAAAGACATTATCACATGGAAAGACATCCGGTGTTCATGGGCTGGAAGAGTTGATACTGTTAAGATGACTACTAGCCAAACCAAAGTACAGATTCACTATCAAATCTCAATGGTATCTCTTGCAGGAAAAGAAAAATCCATCTTAAAATTGATACAGAATCTCAAGAATAGCCAAAATTACCTTGCAAAAGAACAAAGTTGGAGAACTAGTATTTTCTGATTTTAAAACTTCCTAGCAGATACAGTAATCAAAAGTGTGTGCTACTGTCTTAAGAACATATAGAGTCTACAATGGAATAGAGAACGCAGAAAAAACTCTCATAAATACAGTCAAACGATATTTTGAAAAGGGTGCCACGTCCTTTCAATGGGGAAAAGAGAGTCTTTTCAACAAATGGTGCTGAAAAACTGGGTGTCCACGTGCAAAAGAATAGAAAGTTGGATCCTTCCCTTCCCTAAATACAAAAGTTAATTCAAAATGTATCAAAGACCTAAAAGTAGGAAAACTATTTTTTTTTTTCTGTGATTCAAATTCTTTTTTTTTTTTTCTTTTTTTTATTGAACGGTAACTATGTACATTAATGCACTTCTGGGGTACAGTGTGGGGTTTTCACATGCAATCTGAAATACTTCCATCAACTGG